AAGGAGCTCGGCCAGGGAGCCTACGGCATCGTCTGGTACGCGTCAACCCGTCCAACCCCTCCACAATCGCCCACTGCCCCTCTCCAGCGCCAGCGCGCCACAGCGCGGCGCGGCACAACACAGCAGAGCTCTCTGAATGCCTGCAAGCTGGAGTCTCCCTGCAACACACAGCCCGAAAAGCTGACATGTCCCTGATCATAGCGCGGCCGTCAACAACCAGACCAACGAGGGCGTCGCCATCAAAAAGGTTACCAATGTCTTCAGCAAAAAGATCCTCGCCAAGCGCGCCCTGCGCGAGATCAAGCTGCTCCAGCACTTCCGCGGCCATCGCAACGTAAGCGCTCTCACTACCCCGCCATCTCCAACCATGCGAGTCGCGCAACGACAATACAGCGGCGTCTGTGACATGCAGGCGAATAAGCTCTTGTCCAAGAAGCTGACCATGCCTTTGTCTTCTAGATCACATGCCTGTTTGACATGGACATTCCCAGGCCAGACAACTTCAATGAGACTTACTTGTACGAAGGTTTGTCCTCCTTGAATCTGCTCGAGTCCAGCTCTTTCAAGTGCGAATTACTGACCCGCAACCACTTCAGAACTGATGGAGTGTGACTTGGCTGCCATCGTCCGTTCTGGCCAGCCTTTGACCGACGCCCATTTCCAGTCTTTCATCTACCAGATTCTCTGCGGCCTCAAGTACATCCACTCAGCCAACGTTCTTCACCGAGACTTGAAGCCTGGCAACTTGCTGGTCAATGCGGACTGCGAGCTCAAGATTTGCGATTTCGGCCTGGCCCGTGGTTTCTCTGTCGACCCCGACGAGAACGCTGGTTACATGACGGAATATGTCGCTACTCGCTGGTACCGTGCCCCAGAGATCATGTTGAGCTTCCAGAGCTACACGAAAGCTAGTAAGTGGCGCAGAGCCTACCACGATGTAGATTCGTGTTTTCTGTCTAGGACTAACCACGATTGCGCCTACTAGTTGATGTTTGGTCCGTCGGCTGCATTCTCGCAGAGCTGCTCGGAGGACGGCCGTTCTTCAAGGGCCGTGACTACGTCGACCAGCTGAACCAGATCCTGCACATTCTCGGCACGCCCAACGAAGAGACACTCTCACGTATCGGATCTTCGCGGGCTCAGGAGTACGTCCGCAACCTGCCGTTCATGGCTAAGCGCCCCTTCCCATCGCTATTCCCCAACGCCAACCCTGACGCCCTCGATCTCCTCGACCACATGCTCGCGTTCGACCCGTCGTCGCGCATCAACGTCGAGCAGGCGCTTGAGCACCCCTACCTCCAGATCTGGCACGACGCATCGGACGAGCCCGACTGTCCCACAACCTTCAACTTCGACTTTGAGGTCGTCGACGACGTTGGCGAGATGCGCAAGATGATCCTCGACGAGGTCTACCGCTTCCGGCAGCAGGTTCGGACCGTCCCGGGCGCTAGCGCCGGCCTTGGTGCTGGCCAGCAGGGTGGCGCTGGCCAGGTGCCCATGCCGACCGGCGGCAATTCGCAGTGGAAGCAGGAAGAACCAAGACCCCAGGAGTACATGGCCAACGCGGGCAACCTCGAGGATGAGCTGGCCGCTGGGATGGACAGCCGGAGATGATGATGTGCACGGGAAAGCGAGGCTCTGCTTGAAGCGAATACTTGGATAGAGAGATACCAAACAATTAAGACGAACGGCAGAATTGATAGTTGCCCAAACGCAACTTTTGCATGCGCTTGTCCAACATGGGCGTCTCAAGCTACGGTCTCGCTATCAAAGGACTGGTCGTTTGTCTCCAAAATAAGAACAACTGGCCCGTCATCATTTCGGATTTGACTACATGGGCACAAAGTACGAGCCATGTGACAAGCAGCCAGAGCTCGCCGCTCGTGCCTTGTCGCTTATTCGGATGGGGAGGCAGGTGGGAACGTACACACGATACTACCAGGGCAGTTCTACGCGGCTTCCGTTTCTGACCTGCTCAGGTGCACACACGATTTCTTTGACTGCTCGTGGCTCTAAGTTCATGTCCTGCATCATCTCTTCATCTCCCATCTTTTGACGAATCTCGTGGGTTCTATCAGGCCGTTCACTACCTGCAGCCCTGTTCTACCACTTCGGTGGTGCTTCTTCATCAATGGCCCGTCGGCTTGATTCTATGGCTCCTGTAGCTGACGAACCTCCGGTACCCTGATCATCGTCCTCAGACACCCTCGAAATCCCACAACAGCGCGACAAGACTTCGTTCAGGTTCCGCGAATGCTACCACCGAGACACCGATCACTTGTAGGAAAACACTACCGCTTGTCTCAGTTGATCCCACCCGTGCTGAGTAATAATGTAGACAGTTTCTGTTTCGCTTCCTTCCTTCCTCCACGCACGAATAGCACTAGCTGACATTCCGAATGTCCCGTCCAGGAGACACATGCTGATCGCAGGTCGTCTCAGCCCGCTCATGGCCAGGCCTGGGAGAAAGCTTCTTCAGCAATAGACTGTAGGTCATCACGGACCACACTGAACCCACGTTGTACATCTCCCGGTATTACTCCGCTCATGCCCCGACAAGCGATGAAGACAACGACGCCTACGACACCGCAGTGCACTAAGGCGACATTTTTCTAGAGCCTGCACCACTAACTATACGTTGCAATAGCCTTGCGTACCAAAGCGCCTTGGGCGTCTCCCTCCTGGCACGATGCCGCCCACCGGAAATCGTGGCTCCCTTACGGGGAAGTAACTGAAATATTTACAGTCTCCCCGTCGAGATCTCCTGGTCTCTTTGCACGCGAATAATGTTGGCTGACTCTCAAGAGCGGAGCTTAGATCATTTAGACGAGCACGAGCGAGCTGGCTCCAGAGTACGAACTTGCAGACTTTCGCAAGCGTCCATGATCATGATCGCGGCCGATTGTAGCGACTAGCTGATGGTGCCTTATGGTTGTCTGATAGTCGATGATAAATGCCTAGTTGTACGTCTGAGTTCTTCAGGCCGTTAGTTTTGAGAGCGCGAAGAATACTACCACCACAAAATCGAGATGACGGCATTCGAATCGATCGGAGGCGTGTATAATATCCCGATTCAAGCATCATCCCTAGAGTTTGTGCGAACTATGGGATCTAGTATGTCTGCGACTGATAGCTGCAACTGTAGTAAACTACTTTGATTAGATTGATGATGATATTCAAGACTCGCCTAGCTAAACCACAATCTGCTGGGATTGTTGAGGCTTAGCATATGCTCTTGATCAGCACTGAACACATTGACGTTGCGGATGCTTTGCTTGAGCGTTCACATGCCCACGAACGGCATCGTCAGTCATTCTAGCTTGAAGTTTTCAGTTAATCTTCAGTTACAAAAGGCTGATGTGTCTTATTGGAAGCACAACTGTGAGATTTGGGTCCGCTGCAGAGGCCCTCTAGCTGGCGTGGGAAGAAAGACATGCCAGAGGTCGCGTACCAATAAAGTGTGAATGGCAATGATAAGTAACACATTGGCGAAGTAGCGACGTCGACTAAGGATTCTAATTATTTCTGTCCGTCTGCCCACGAGCATCTGCTGATCATGTTTGGAACGTGGCTAGTAGTCGGACTATGACCGAGTACGACTCGCCACAAATCTCGGAGTCCTCATCACGGCTTTCCTGTCAAAAATACTCGATAAGAGCTTTACTGACAGCGCTGGCGTCTTTGGCTAGGAGCACGTTGCACCAAGGCCCCAATCATAATGGACACGGCCTGCTTGAGACTCTCGAGGAGTAAGGTAACTCGAGGAGAACGAGTCCTTCTGCCGTAGCTCGTAGGGAAAAATGGATATAGAGGTAGCGATCGAGAAAGCCGGAGGAGAGGCGAAAGCCTCCTGGAAACTCCTATTAATCTAATGATAGTCGAGCTAGGACCCGGCCGTCATCACACCTGCGATCTTCCGGCAATGGAGATCCTGGTGAGCATTGATCTGCATGTTTCTGGTGTACCGTCGTCTGATAAGAATGGTGGCAGCCAGGGTCCTTGGAGATCATAGTATATCCATAGCCAAGTATTCCTCTAGAGTATTCGCCGCGTCTAGACAGACAAAGTCAGCCCGATATAGCGTGCCCATCCTCCCTTGTCCAAAGAGGCGAGAACGTGCTCGCATGAGCCTCAGGGGGGGCCTGTCTGGTACTGGAAAAGACGGATTTATACCGCCTGTCCGCGGATGAGGTCTACCAAGACTGGCCTTCCTGCCTACCTTGTCCACGTGGGTACTTAGCAAGTGGCTATCCGTGCGACAGAGACAGCAATGACGGCAAATAGCATCCTACGTCGAATATGCCGCAATCCGGCAGTCGAGATCATTCTCAACCTTCACGGCCTGGTCCTCGTCGTCATCCCAAACAGTCCGCGTATTACCGATTCACGGGAAACCCAAGAAAGGAGAACACATAAGCCGGCATAGTTAGACAGAAGTAATTCAAGTCAACATGTGTCATCCATAGCATCGTAGTTTGACCAAGTAACATGCTACCACTGTCACTCTTAGATGTCTGAGTTTATACCTGTCGGTACGGAAGGACTAGGGGACAGTGAGACCCTCGAGAGCCACGCAACGAAACATATTCTGTCTTTGACGCTCAAAACAACCAACTAATGGGCCATTGCTATACTGTCACTAAGAATTACAGTGCTACGCTCCCCTCGCAGTCACTCAGGAAGACGAGAAAAAGGCTCCAGCGCCAGACCCGGGTGAGACAAGCAGCAACTCAATGGTGCTATGTCTCTTGGACCCTTTAATGATTGCGATTTCTTCAGCTTGAGCTACCCTTCCGGATTTTTCAAGACTTGAGGACAAAACAACGCTTATAGTTCTAGACAGGACAGTGCAGATGCCCATTACTTACCTCGCACACTAACCAACAACTCAGCCACCGCATCGAGCAAAAATACAAGAGCTTCCACACACCGACCAACACATAGATTCGGCAACGAACGAGGCAAAAAAAAAAAAAAGTGAATGGATGCTATCCGTGGTGTCCCTCGGACCGGAATCGAACCGGTGACATTCAGATGGAAATAATCCGGACCGGATGAGGGTTGTTGGCCCTACCCGGCAGTACAATTACAGTCTGACGCGATAACCAACTACACCACCAAGGGAGGTTGGCAATCCTGAGAACAGTTGGACTGTTCGTCAAGGGTTGTTGTTGAAAACATCGCACCCTATACTAATATATATTGCAAGTACACAATCTGCAATTATCCCGGTATGCATAAGCGTGTGTGAGTGAATGAAATTATAGCTGCTGTCATCGTCGTGCACTACCGCAGTAGCGCGAAGCATATCGAATTTACACCGTTTAATACAGTACTATAAGTAATTTGAATAGTTGTATGATTTCATTAGATGCTCAAAGGCCTTGGTGGCGTGGATGATGGTCAACTTCGGCCGCGTTTGGTGACCATCGGTGCACCGCTCTCCACTGTCCGCAAATGCGATGAGAGCCTGGAAGTCCACCTGGACAAATTCAATTAGCATTTGTTGGAAGTCAGTCGCATTTTATCTGGCTGGCTGGCGTACAACTGGGAACTCTAAATCAACGTACACGTCTTCAGATCGTGTGCAATAGTGACACACTCGTCTCGGTCCATCTCAACCAAGCCAATGTCGATCATCTTGCACCATGGCTATCGCGATCGACCATATACGCTCGTGCTGCTCGTGCTGTCTGGCTTGCCTTGAATTGACGCACCCTCGCACGACTATCAGTTGAGCAAATTTGTCCACCTCATGGCACTTTTTGAAGCATTCTCGCGTGGCTGTGAGCCTACATAGCCCTCACAGCTCGAAGCCGGGCTAGCAGTTCATGGAGTAACAATACTCCTCCGCAGTCAAGCTGGTAGGTAGCCTTGGCACCAGGGTGATATGGAGTCTAATGTCGGGCATCTATAGCTTTCGGCGTGCTCTGGACCTCTACGCGTAGTTAGCTCCTTTGGGAGATTCCTCCACCAGAAATTGTACTTTCAAGTACTCGAAGTGTCCTTTCCAGGACTACACCTGTAGCAAGTTAGACTTATAACCGGTTCTAAAAGTGTACGCCCTTTTCCGTGAAGCCAATGTGAACATAGGAGGTCCAGTTAGAACCCATGTGTAGTAGCGTAGTCTGAGATAGGCCATGCGTCCTTCGGCTACATCGATCAATTACACCACTTCTGCCATCACCACCAGCTTCCTATTCATCTACGCCTATCTTGGGCTAAATTCTAGACTAAAGAACATCAACTAGAGATCGTCGATCTATACATTATTGCATTTACACGAAAAGCGTGCCCCAGAAAACGGCCAAGCGTGGGTCGGGCGTCCAGTACCTAGTCCGATCCCAGACGAATATCAAGTCTTAGTCCAGCGAGTCTCAGCCGAGATCTAGACAAGTGCGGGGTCGGAAGGTTCTTGGCCTCGCTTCTGACTGAAAATAGCATACAGCTCTGGTGGACTGTATGCCCTAGGTCGGGGAGAGCTCATGGCAATGCACTGGGAGAAGATGGCGAGGGTGGTGTGACAGGTCAGGGCGAACAGAGATCAGGGGTTTCCTCAAGACATTCATGTATTCATTGTTTAGTTTCGACTCACGATGATTTTCATACCAGGGTATGCCACTTAGACACCATTAATTCACACCTCAATTTTGCACCATTTTCAAGATCACCAGTTTTGCGTCTTTTGACGTAAAGCCTTTTGCCGTTCCATTCAGAATGCCCTGATCAGAAGAAACCCTAAGAAATTTTGCACCTGTGATTCGTTGTTGGTGTAGTTAGCTCCTCCATGTAAAACTCGTAAGGTGCGCGCACCTTACGACTCCCCTCACTCTATACGGGACGCGCAGAGTGCAGTACGCCGGACATCCCGCCGAAACTAGTGAGCGGTGACTCCCTTTGGTCGGTTGTTTTGTTCTGTTTCGGTCACGATCAGAGGAATCCTCACCTGACCCAGAACAGTGGGACTTCGAGGAGGAGACGCAGCAGAAGAGTCCTTAGCCGCATACCTACGCTCAGCTGAACACCTTATTTATGGGGTTTCTCACGTCCTCTAGTAAATGCAGAGGTCTAGAGAAGAGCGGCGAGGACGGCTTTTCGTCTTGGGGGAGTTGATGAGGAAGGTGGTAGAGATAGTAGGAATGGCCCCTGATCACAGGTGGGTAATGTACCTTAGACATCATGTCTGGGCTGTGCCTCCACGGGTACCTTTCCCATCCCACCATATTCAATACACACACCTCGCCCCTCCCACCCATCACTGCTTTATTGTGACCCATCTTAGCGTGGGAGGTCGTACTCTACGGTGGCGTCCCGTACCTGTTCCGCGACTTCTCTACCGAGGCGCACGCTGTCGAGTGTTGGTCGTCTAAGGACAAAGTTGGTCCGCTCCGCCTAGAAGACGAGGTCCTTACTGTAGTTGGCCAAGACGCTAGATGTGATTGGGCCACCGTCGCGACCGGTGTTAGTATCCGCGATATAATCGATACATCTAGGACGTCACGGAAATTGTTAGCTGAATATATTAACCTGGCACTATCATCAAGTTTTGGGTCTGAGGCTTACTGGCGAAGGCGATCGACAAGCACCTTGATGTCAGGGTGGAAGATGATGGTTTCGATTTCCAATGAAGACAAGTTGTCCCGCTGATCTTTGGTGATCCAAGACGCTTTCTCGCAGAAGTCGGTGAAATACCTTAAGACGCGATCCTGATTTTGCTGGGTCCGGAAGGCGAAGTGTCGTCGGCTACCTCGGGCCTTCTGGACTCTCTCCTCGTACTTGCGTAATTGGTCTGCACTAAACTTCTGGATGCCGTTCACATCTCGTCCTTCGTTGATCTTCTCGTTGATAGTCCTGGGTCTTTTTTTGGGCACGACTGGGATGTTAGGCATGGATGGAGCCATGTTTAGCTCGGGCTACTCAGATTTAGGTTTTTGTTAGGAACGTGACCTATGAGACGAGGGTGAAAGCTGTTCATAGTGGACACAGATCTTGCGATATAAACGGGCGTGGCATGAGGCGTGGGCGATGCAGGAGATTGATTGCAGGTAGAGCACGCGTGACCGAGATACCGAGCAGATATGATGGATCCCGACGGGGTTCCGTGCAGCTGGGGAATGGGTAATGTAGATCGGCCAGGGTATGATGTTGGTGCCTTGTGATGATCATGGGTATATGCCTCGTGGTAGACGTCGGTGCGTGGGCTGTTGACGGGGATCTTTGCAGGTGGCACTTGTGGACGCCCTGACTTGATGTGAAGGGGGTATGGCTTTCAGGTGAAATAGGCGTGGGGTATCATAAAAATGCTTGTGGTGATGGTTTCAAGTATGGAAGTGATGACCGACTGGTCCTTTGATGGATTTGATGGGATTTGCCGCAATGGAAAACGGATTAGAAAATGGGTATGTGTGAGTGTGCCAGACAGAGTGGGTTTGGCTCGTTGTGGATGTGTATGGGCTCTGAGCAAGATCAAGACCCGGTATGATGATATACGGGATGAATCCCAGGTCGGCGAGAGGAAGTTTGTGGCGGACAACTGGGAAGGGGTGCTGCTATATCAAGGGACGAGACGGTGTCCATTGTGATGCGATGTGAGGAAGAAGAGGCGAGAGGCAGGAACAAGACGAAATACTCAGCGTGGCTTACCAGAGATGGTTGCATACGAGTGCTCAAGCGATCACCTGGAGGAGGGGATGGAGATGTCTGCGGCCAGGCAACGAGATGGACTTATCGGTCGACTGGGTTGGTGCGGATGCCCAGACGAGCACCTGAGGGAGAGGGAGGGGGGCGACGAGGAGGACGCAACGAGGTGAGTGTACCGGTTGACTGGGCTGGTGGAGATGAGTGTAAAACGCAGATTGCAGATGGAGATGGGGTCTTTGATTGTAGAATGTGTGGATGGCAGAAGGGTGTAGTGTCGAGCTTGGGGTCAGGGAGAAGACAACGAAGGACGAAGGACGAAGAAAGAGGGAGAGTCGGGACTCAGGTCGATGCGTAGTTCTTAATGGAACCACTTTGGCCAGTGGTTGTCCACACAAGTGGAAGGTGCCACGCCCAGGCAACAGCGATGGACTCAAAGATACAGGCAGGCGGTTGATGTCGTCACGCAACCAAGTTCAGCGCCCGTGGACCTGCCTCCGCTCGGGAAAAGACCTCCTGCCATGGCAACACAGGCTGAAGATGACATGATGTCGTCATGCGTGCACGTTGAGACCTGCCGCTAATCGCGAGCAGAACCTCATGCCCCCAGCAACTTGTAATAGAGATGGCGGGATGTTGCTACGTGGACAGGCGCCGCTCGTGAGACACAGCCCTTATTCGGTGGAGGGTGACGTGATCTCCCACTCTGCAGCTACTTGAAGTATCTATCTCTATGAGATACAAGTAACCATGGCTCCACACAATTCGGAAATCCCCATTGTTCCTAAGAAGCGGGAAGGTTTACTTGCCAAGATGAAGAGGCTGCGAGATGAGAATGGCGGAGTTTTCAAGCATAGAGACAGGCAGAAAGAAAGGATCAGACAGATATCTGAGAGAGTCGCTACCAATGCACACAATCATGCCTTGGCCCTGCAAGCTCAGAAAGATGCCTCGGGGTCCGACAACGAACCCGCCCTGGACGAAGAGCGTAACATAGACTCTGGAGGTGTCGTGGCCGGGCCGTCGCGCACGACCGACAGCGCGAGCGAGATCGTCAAGCGAAAGAGACCTATACATGACGTTTTTGACAATCATTCACCTTCTCGCGTCATGGCTGCACCGCACCCTGAGCGACCTGTCATGGTCAAGGAAGGCAACAAAGTCTCGGTTCATATGGACAACATGTTCTGGGTTTCTTGGGAGGTCACTACTAAGCCCTCACCCCATCACAGCGACGATTCAGTTGGCACGGTGTCCGACTGCAATGGAACGGATCAGACTGTGCAGGATGAGGTTGTATAGTTGATGCCTGGCGGCATTTGCCATGGGACGACGTTTCGTCACGGTGGGTTCGCAAGGGTATTCATTGTACAATGTACACAACACGGCTTAGTATATTATCAGTGTGTCGTTGTTGACCCCCATTTGAGGCGAGCATCTCCACTCCAAGAATACGATATTCTTTCATATTCGCATTCCATGGCAAC